AACCACCCCTCGTTTTTTGTACAACGAGAGCAATACCATTTTTGCGATTCGTCACAGGATCTTGTGGTACAGATTCGCAAGCTATCAAGCAATCATCACATCTAATTTTCTTTCGTATCGCTCGAATAACAAATCCTGCAATATATCCTACACACTGTTTAGACGTTTCGTTTACGTTTGAGTCAGGTACTGCCCAAAACAGGTGTAAAAATTCACTTATTTCATCATGCAGGGTTGACGAATCTATTTCTTCTAAACGATATTTTTATTGTACGTATATTTTCAGCATTGCTATGGTCATCTACATTAAATTTATTGATTTTAACCCCTTTTGAAGAACCAGAAGATACAGCTAATATTGATAAGTCGTTTCCCTGGACATTACCCGTGGAATTAGTTATTTCATGGTGAATTAACAATTGCTTAAATGCGTTTACAAACTGAGCGGCGGTTGGATTTGGACACCAACCACCTCGGCTACGAATCGCACAAAAAAATAATTCCAAGTGATCTTGGCCTAACTTGTACGTCAACAAATATTTAAGTTCAGGCTTATCTGCTTTAACATAGCTGTCGTAAATATGAAGAACAGAAATAACTGCATTGTAAAACCCCAAAAAACCTGCTTTACGGCGTGATTGTACCACCTATCATCATGTAGTTTTGTTTTGCTAAGGTAATTATTTTCCTTCATTATTTTAGACCTCCACCTTTTCTCGTTTGTAGTCCTGAGTGGACTTTTATATCCACACCCCCATGGATTTCTTACATTCAAAAAATCAAAAATACGGTCAACTGCTCTTATAAATCTAACTGTTGAAGCTGAACCTGGAATTCTGGAAGTTGTAAAATAGTGTCGCAAAATTCAATTGCATCTACTACACTGCTACTAAGTGTTTGAGCAGCAAGATAAACTTTCATTATCATTTTTTATAATGTATATGCGAACTCCTTAGTCGATTTCCTAACCTCAGGCCCTCAGATTCCTGCAATACTGCCAAATTTTCAATATATTCCCACTTTATTAAATTCCCTTCGTGATCCTTTAAAACCTTTAAGTCACCTAAACAATTTCTTATATTTTTAAGCATATGACAGGGATCAAATACTACATAAATCTTGTGGTTCCTATCTATTGGGTGATAAAAGAAAGGTTTAGTGTCGTTTCCTGCTTTCAATACTACCCCTAGTTGAGCTACCGTAGAAAAATGCTTGGGTGGTCCATCTAAAGTTACGGAGCATATTTTTACTGAAACATCGTGCAAGCGAATTAAAGCCTGTTTAATTAAGGCACTCTTTGTTTCAGCAGGCAACCCATTAATAAAAAATAGGCGATTGGTATTTTCCAATTGCCTTTTAACGGAACAATCATAAAAACCAATGCGTCCTTACAATCGGGTAAATCATTACCAATCATTTCGGAATCAATGCCAAAATCAACATAACCACGCACGCACGCACGCACACGAGAGCAACTTTTATTTAAGCTCATTTCGTCTATGATCAAAGCACAAGTTAGTGTTTCTTCATTCTGTTTTGCTTGGTTACTTTTAAGTAGTAAAGCATTAAAACTTTCAACTAAGAACCCCGGATTCGAATCTATAGAGCTATACCAGGAGCGTATTACCCGTGGATGTGGTAATGCTATATTAAACTTTTTTCTGACAAAAGCGTATGCTTTTGATGAGTAAAAATGGAGAATTATAGCAAAAGCTCTTAATTCCGGGGGATACTTAGCATGGCTGACATTTTTACCAGTATTTAATATCATCCTTTTAAACAATTGTGGCTTGAAGTCGTCATACAGATGTAATAGATTTGCACAGTCATCGTTAATTAATTTTCTTCTCTTTAATTCAATAATTACATTTCTTAAACAAGTAATTCTGACCTTTAATCGTTTCACATGTTGCGATAGGACTTTTATACGAGCCCGTGTGTTTTTCAAAGATTTCTGAACTCGTTCCAATGTCTTTTTGGATGATCTTGGGGAGTATTCATAACGATGATCATGCTTGATATTATTACGGACTTCAGAAATAGACAAAACCGTCTTTGAAGTGACAGTCTGTTCCCGGTAGCAACTTGTGTTCTGACCTATATACCAAATTTATATTGATAAATAACACCGAAAAAACAACAATTAAGAAAATTACACATGACATTTGCCACGGTTTGCTTGTAATAAAAAAGAAAAGAAAAATCAAGATACCAACATAAAAAAGAAGAACTTTCCAGGCTCTCAATCTCGGGCAGCTCCATGTATTCTGGAGGCAGCAACGTATCTACCTACTTCCATAGTTTTGAGATCAAAATACGGATCACCTTTATCGGCGCATATTGCACTAGCTCCTAAGCTTTCCAGCTTCGGCAGTGCCACGTATTCTGGGTGACTTGACGTATCGCAATCCATGGGTTCTTGATCGAACACTTGATTATCTTTGTCGGTGGATGTTGCGCGAGAGGAAGCTGCCAAAAACCGTGATTGCAAACGATGGCAAGAATTTGTAAATAAGAAGGAAACTAAAGTAGAGCCACTATGAAATTAAGGCACAAATTAAATTTTGAGACTCGAGAGATAATTAAATCTCTAGACTCGCACTTACTAAAACCCGCCGCAAATTGGCAGTTCCACGGAAATGCCTTCATGCATATCCGTGGCCCCTCCGCCGCCAGCCGCCCAATGGCGGCCCCTCCTTAGTTGCTGACTTCTCCTCCCCGTTTTCATTCCCAGGTAAGGCGCACCAGAAACAAGCCACACTGTCCTTCGCGTCCTCTAACTCCACCTGCACTACGGACTCCCCGAGCCCGATATGTGAATGGAGCCAGGGAAAAACGAGCACTTGAAAGCATCAAGTGGTGCAGCCTCACCAAAGTCGCAAAAGATAGTCGAGTGGCGCATCGCCAATCGCCATAGCAACACTTCCTCTTCCCTTACGACTCCACCTCGACTACAGCGGTACAGGAGAGAGGAATCTCCTCTAGCCGCAGCCAACTAAAACATATACAACGTGGCTCGACATCATCAGGTGACCTTTCGACACTTGGCTATGGCCCTTGAGTTTGGTGGAAAATGAGGAAAGAAGAAATAAAAAAACATTCGAAATAATAATCTAATACTTTTATACTTACTGGTACTGGTACTACCAGAAAATATTGTCGGTATACTGCACTTTTTCAAAGTGGTGCAGTTCTCATGTCTAATAAAACAGTCTTCTGTGAAATGTTTGGAACAAATATGATCATTTTGTTTCGGACGCCAATTCACAATATTTATGGTTTTAAGCCATATTTTTAGTCTAGGTTCAATTAGAAACCTGTTAATTAATAAACATTTTATAATCAACTGTTGTTGGCGACTTTGTTTGTTAACAGATATGGGTAGGAAAGAACATCGATAAGTATTATAGACAAGGAACTAGACAACCTTATTGAATTTTATTGTTTATCAAAACTCAGTAATATAAAGCCAAAGATGTTATTATATATAATATTAAGATTAGTAACCAATTTTTAAGTACTTATATTATCAAATGGTTTTAATTTGTTTAATATTTGCTGCAAATTCACTTACTTGTGAAATGTTATACCACTTCCCTCTTGGTAACGAGTTTTACAGATTACGCACACTCTCATTATTAGTAAAAATAATACTTATTATGTAACTAATATTATACACGATGAAACAACATAAAATACTTTCGTTTTTTAGTTTAAAAGTTCAAAATACGGACTTATTAAATAAGACAATATAAATGAGACAACAGACTTTGACATATTATGTCAATTTTATTTATAAAGACATCCTTTAGCGGCGCTCAAATTGGCACAGTCATTTTCTATGGTATAGCCAGTAAAGCGTACTTATATATATATAGAGGTCAGTGGATTTTCGGGTAGTCAGGTCGTCTATACGCCAGTATAACTCGTACGAATTAACTTGAGACCTGGGCCGATGACGTAATTGTCAATGTACGGTGTGCAAATGCGTCATAATATTTTTTTATTTGAAATTTTTGAGATTTGCATGAGATTATTAATAAAAACAAAATAAAATGTTCTGGCAAGGGGTGAAGTAATAAGTAATATACTGTTGCCATTTTTATATATTTTAAATATTTATTTTTTATAATATCTATAATATTATTTTTAGTTAACGCGTCAAGGAAGGACAAAGAAATAAACATACACACTTTCTCATTTATAATATTATTAATTTATTTAATAATATTATAAATGAGAAAGTGTGTATACACTTTATTGCACTATAAAAAGTGTTACAGATTCGTACACAATAAAAATACAAAAATATCGAACTAGAGTCGGGACGCGTATCCGTAACATAAATGCTATCGGTACTGAGCGCGCACGGCCAGCGCGGGACGCGGTGCAGGGAGTCGGGAAGGGGGTCGAATTCCAGCGGAGTCTCAAGTTAATTCGTACGTGTTGTATATTCCAAGTCGATGCCTATTACACGTTCACTGTATTTTTTATTTTCCTTGATTATTATTTAATTTATAGTATTCTATGATATATATATGTGTGTGTACGTAACAAATATAATGGAATTTTATTTTCTTAAATATTTTTGGATACTTAGAGTAGAGAAGTATATATACGTTATACTCACAGAGTAATTAGTATATACATAACTGAAGACCTAGTAGACCTAGTACTCTTATTAGCTTGTGACTGAAGACTACATTTCATTAATTTGTTTTAATAATCAAAATATATTCTTATTTAGTGCTATAAAATGATTGAAAATATAAATATTTTCATTATTTATTTGGAAGACATCGTTAATTTAGAAAAAAAGTCTTTTCTTTTTTATCTATGTACTCAGCTGTTTCAACTACGCTGATTAATCTGTGGCTGTTTGTAAACGCCGCGCTTGTTGCCAACTTCCCGTCAGTCATTTTATTTTGTGGCTGTTAGTTCGCGGTCGACAATATCGATAAAAATCTTTGTCATCTGCAGCTTATTTTCAAAGTGACATTATGAGTTCTGGTATGCCTGAATTGGGCTCCAAGATAAGCCTAATATCGAAAGCTGACATCCGTTATGAAGGTCGTCTTTTCACCGTCGATCCTCAAGAATGTACCATCGCTTTAGCTAGCGGTAAGTTGACAAATGGATACTCTCCTTTTTTGTTGTGCTAGTTTGACTCGCTATATTCGTTTTTATTATATAGCTATATTAATAAATTTCACTGGTTACGTAGCATTTTCTAAAAAAGGTATTTCGATGTTCTAACTAGGTATTCATCCAATTATATATTATCTTATTGATTAAAATGATATATTTTTTAGTTTAAAAAGAAATCTGATTACACTTATGCATTAAAAATTCGAATTAGTAATAGCACATTGTTTTTATTCTACCCTCATTTTACTTGTTGGGCTCGACTTTCTGACCGATGTTTCACATTGATGACGTTAACGATTACATTCTTGTAAACAACTTCTGTTTGAATTTTGCCTAATATGTAATGTTAGGAACAAAATTCTTATTTTCTTGTCTTACATCAAAGACGAGAATTACGAAATACCTTTTCTTTTTTTATTAATCCAATATAGGATAAAGTTTGATTAGGTGCTTAGATGGTTATGTGAAATAATGGGCAGTGGGGGTAATTTTTAAAATCTAGTAGTTAAAACATCTTATAGATTTAGTTATGATTTTATGTCCTGGCTAATTTATCGGATGTTCAAAGCAGAACCATAGAGTGGAATAAATAGAAACCAATAGAAAATTTGAATTATGTCAAAGCTTATTGGAAAAGTAATTGAATGATTCAGACATTAATTATGTTGAAGAACCTTTGGCTAATATTTCCAATATGGACCATCGATTTCAAAGCCCATATTTTTTTTGTAGATAGTACTCACTAAAAGAAAGCGTTTTGCAAAGTTTTAGGTTGCGGAAACTTACGGTTCATGAGATATATTTTTTTAAACTTTTCATACAAATTGGTAAATAACACGCAATTACAAAATAAATTTGACAAATGATTGATGTCAAACATCAGTTAGTGTAGGGTTCCGAATATTTTGAAAGTATCGATACCTACTCGATACCAAGTATCGTATCAAAAGTATCAATACTACTTGGTATCGAGTACATTTCGTTAATTTTGGAGACGAAAAATTATGACAAACCAATTAGATGCATAGGAAGAGCTGATAAGTGCAATTATATATGTATATAAAGTAGAATAAAGTTTACTCTATTTAAGTTCCACCTTAGTACTTGTATTTCGTTGTTTGCAACTTGTTTGTATTTCTTAATTAGTACAGCTTTTGTACTTTCATTTTATTGTTTGCAACTTTCTGTATTATCTAATTCTTACTACAATAAAGTGTTTACTTACTTATTTAATATCCAAAAAGTACCCAAAACCGAATCAGAGCACCCCACTATCCACGTGGTCTTGTCTGCCCTACCCCTAGAGTGTATATAAGAGCCCGGAGGCGCGGAGGGAGAGCTCAGGTGTGCTTCCCTACGCTAGGGCGGAGGCACTGCTCATCCCGCAGCGCCGGAGCTGCCACGGAGCACCGAAGCACAACTTCCCGGCTTCTTACCCCCCTAGTCTCCAAAATTAACGAAATGTACTTGATACCAAGTAGTAGTGATACTTTTGATACGATACTTGGTATCAAGTACGTATCGATACTTTCAAAATATTCGGAACCCTACACTAATTGACGTTTGACATCAATCATTTGTCAAATTTATTTTGTAATTGGTGTAATTGCATGTTATTTGCCAATTTGTATGAAAAGTTTAAAAAAATATATCTCATGAACCTTAAGATTCCGCAACCTAAAACTTTACAAAACGCTTTCTTTTAGTGAGTACTATCTACAAAAAAATATGGGCTTTGAAATCGATGGTCCATATTGGAAATATTAACCGAACCTTTTACATGGCAATCCATAAAACAGAGTAAAGACCTACATTGCATTTCAGGCACTTTTCCCTCCACATTGACTTTTCTGTGCTTATGAGTATAATCCAATGCTCTTTGCCATGATTCTGTGTATTGTGAGAAGGGTTAGTCTGGCTTTATCCATGATGTGGTGGAACTCCATGTCTGAAAACAAAGCTTTAAGAACACCTAAATGCAAATTTTAGCAATAACAGCTAAAAAGTAGGCTGTATAAGGAGCCTTACTCTTGCTTATCCTATCAACAACCCTATGATGTAAAGAAATTGTCAAAGTATATTTTTACACCACTGCGTTGGCAACTTTCCGAGCCTAACTAATCCATAATCAATTTTTTGAGCATCTACATACAAGTTAAAAACCACTATTTAGCTTGTGCTGGCTAGAGATGGGCGAAAAATGGTTTAAACCAAATATGAATATTTGGCTGAACACTATTTGGCAGGATCACCTCGGTACCTCACCAATTTATGTTGAAACTTGTTGCCGTAAAGTGCACTATATTAGCGACGGACCCTGTCCCTCGCTCCCCCACCACACTGACATGTTATTACATCATCTAGTACTGAGGAAATTGCCGGCACAAGCTTATGTTTTGAGTGTTTTAGTGAGAAAAAAGTATTTTATTGTGTTATTCTTAGTGAATAACAGTGGTAGAGCCACGCGGCAGCTTTGCTGTTGCATGTATGGGCCGGCTCAAACCGGGGTGGTACCACGACCTCACAGAATACCGGCGTGAAGTGGAAGCTCTGCTTTCGCGTTTCGTCTGGTGAGTGCAGGTGGCCGGAGGACCATATCCCCCCCGCCCCCCATCAACATGGTAGCGGAATTAAATGATAGACTACCCCAGGAGGGTACCAGCACCCCTGGAGAATCCCTCGCTGAGCATCCACGACCATGTTTCTCCACTTCTGAGCGTGGGTGCTCAGGCTGCCCCGCGTATTCTGGGGGAGGGCAAAATTCCGCTCAAGACTACAACTGCTCTGAGCAAACGGAGCAACAAGACCAAGGCGACCCCTGCCATGCTGTCCGTGAATTTCTGCAATATCAGGGGACTTCACTCTAACCTAAACGCCGTCCACTACCATCTCGAGACGGCGAGGCCGGCTCTGCTCTTTCTGACCGAGACGCAGGTGTCCTCTCTGGCTGATGTTTCGTATCTATCCTACCCGGGGTACAAACTGGAACACTCCTTTGTGCCTCGGGCTGGAGTTTGCGTTTACGTCAGAGAGGACATCTGTTCTCGACGCCTCGACAGACTTGAAGGTTCGGACCTGTCCATCCTTTGGCTACGCGTAGATAGCGACGACCATCCGCGCGTCTACGGGTGCCTTTATAGGTCCCATAGCGATAATGCCGAAACAGACCGACTCTTCGACCACGTCCAAATGGCTGCAGATTCGATGCTACAGCAGATCCCCTCCGCAGAGATCGTGATCCTCGGCGACTTTAACGCCCATCACGCCGAATGGCTTGGTTCACGTTTAACCGATCATGCGGGGAGATCTGTTCATGATTTTGCCTTGGCATATGGTCTGACACAACTGGTTACTTCGCCTACGCGGATTTCAGATGTGGAGGATCATGAACCTTCCCTGTTGGACCTTCTGCTGACCTCTCACCCGGACGGATATCAGATTTCCGTCGACGCCCCTTTAGGCTCCTCGGACCATTGTCTTGTCCGGAGTGTGGTGCCACTCACGCTGAAATCGCGGTTGCATTATGCAGGCTGCCGCCGTGTTTGGCACTATAGGTCAGCCGATTGGATATGATGCGGTCTTTCTTTGCATCCTACCCTTGGGGGCGGGTTTGCTTCTCGCCGGACGATCCCAACGTTGTTGCGGATTCTGTCGCTGATGTGGTACTTCAGGGTATGGAACTTTTTATTCCTTCCTCTGTGGTGCCCATTGGAGGCAAATCTCAGCCATGGTTTGGTCGCTCCTGTAAAATAGTATCATGCTATAATCAGGAGTGCTACCAGGCCTGGGCTGACGCATCAGCGCCCCGGGATGTAAATACCAGCGCTCTAAAAAAGAAGTATAATCCCGCCTGGCAATGACTCTTTTTAAGGACCTACCTTAAAAAGAGTCATTGCCAAGGCAAAGTCAGAGCACATAGGCAGAATTGGCGAGAGACTAGTTCGCCTTCCTTCTGGAACTGTGCATTCTGGTCTCTCGCCAAGGCTGTCCAGGGGAATTTCTGTCAGCCATCTCTTCCATCTCTGCGCAGGGAGGACGACTCACTGGCCCATACCGCAAAGGAGAAAGCTGATCTTCTAGGCTCTTTCTTTGCGTCTAACTCGACTCTCGATGACGGGGGGAGTACGCCGCCGACCATCCCGTGGTGTGAGTGCTCCATGCCGGAAGTGCAGTTCACACAGCGGTCGGTTCGCAAAGCCCTCCTCTCCCTGGACATCCACAAGTCGAGTGGGCCTGACAGAATCCCCCCAATTATGCTGAGGACGTGTGCTCCAGAGTTGGCACCGGTTTCAACGCGTCTTTTCCGGTACCCCTACTCTCTAGGCGTAGTCCCAAAATCATGGAAGACGGCTTTCGTCCACCCGATCCCTAAAAAAGGCGACCGCTCAGACCCGTCCAACTACCTTCCTATCGCCATCACCTCCTTGTTCTCCAAAACAATGGAGTCCATTGTAAACTGCCAGCTCATGAGGTACCTTCAGGATCACCAGCTGATTAGTGATCGCCAGTACGGTTTTCGCCATGGTCGGTCAGCTGGTGATCTTCTGGTCTACCTAACTCACAGATGGGCGGAGACAGTAGAGTCCAAGGGGGAGGCATTGGCCGTTAGTTTGGACATTACGAAGGCCTTCGATCGGGTTTGGCACAAAGTGCTTCTTTCGAAGCTCCCTTCCTATGGGCTTCCCGAGAAATTGTGCGATTGGATCACCAGCTTTCTTGCAGATCGGAGCATCAAGGTCGTTGTTGACGGTGCAAGCTCCGATTGCAAGCCTATTAATGCTGGTGTTCCACAGGGCTGCGTGCTATCGCCAACGCTGTTTCTTCTGCATATCAATGATATGTTGCAAACCCGTAACATTCATTGCTATGCAGATGACAGCACTGGTGATGCTCTTTACACCGGTCGAGCCAATATTTCTCGGGAAAACGTCTCCGAGTGCCGGAACAAACTTGTGTCTGAAGTCGAGTCTTTGCTGAACAGAGTCTCGGATTGGGGGCGACTAAATCTAGTCCAGTTTAACCCCCAGAAGACACAAGTTTGCGCGTTAACTGCTAAAAAAAACCCCTTTCTTGTATCCCCTCAGTTTCAAGGCACTCCCCTTGTTGCCTCAGCCAGTATCGAAATCCTCGGCGTCGACATATCGAGTGACGTGCAGTTTCGTGGTCACTTGGAAGGGAAGGCCAAATTGGCCTCTAAAAAGCTTGGCGTGCTCAGCAGAGCGGGACAGTATTTCATGCCGGCACACCGCCTGCAACTTTACAAGGCGCAGGTTCGGCCGCACATAGAATACTGTTCCCATTTCTGGGCTGGGGCTCCCCAGTACCAGCTCCTTCCACTTGACTGCATCCAGCGCAGAGCGGCTCGAATTGTCGACGACCGAGTGCTTTCCGATTGGCTCGATTCACTGGCGTTGCGAAGAGATGTTGCATCCCTTTGCATTTTCTTTCGCATATACCATGGAGAGTGCTCTGAGGAATTGTTCGGATTAATCCCAGCCGCCAAATTTCGTGAACGCACTACGCGGCAAACGTCCTGATACCATCCACACCATCTGGATGCTTGGCGGTCCACCACTGTACGTTTCAAAAGGAGTTTTCTTCCGCGTACAACCTCTCTGTGGAATAGTTTACCGTCGGCGATTTTTCCGGACCGATACGACCTGGGGACTTTAAAGAAAAGAGCTTACTCCTTTCTAAAGGGCCGGCAACGCATCTGCAATTCCCCTGGTGTTGCGGTTGATCATGGGCGGCGGTAATCACTTAACATCAGGTGAGCCGCAGGCTCATTTGCCCCCTCTTCTATTAAAAAAAAAGTGAAAATTGATAATTTGTGATAAAAATGAGTGGCAGATACTATTTGGACTTATTTTATAGAGAAACTGACGACCAAAGTAAATTGAAATGTACTTATGTAATGTAATGTTTCTTTGTTTGATTCCAAAAAATTCTAATTCATCTAGTGAATAAAAATAAAAATAAGGTTCTCTGAAATGTCATTCTTATGTTCACATTCTCATCACATTTACTGTGAACAACCTACCCTATGCATAACATCCAATATATTATACTAGATGGAAACAAAATGCTTAATGTTCACATCCATCCATCAAAGCCTATAAAAAAGTGTACTGCATATTTATTTATTTTTTAATCATAAAAATTTACAATAAAAGCAAAATAGTACTTTCACCTTCTTCTTAAAACAGTCCTACTGTGATCTACTATTAACGAAAATTACATATATCAAGGCATGACATTCAATCACTTGAAACAGCTGCCAATTTAAAAAAATGTAACTAGTGCAATATTAAAAAAAAATACAACCAAATCAACCACTTTTCTATGGACTTCAAAAAGGAGGAGGTATTCAATTTAAGCGTTCAGAACTTTTTTGTACAATGTAAGTTGAATAAAAATTTATGTGATGATTAATAAGTTGGCGTTTATTGACAAAATGCTCGCAGAGCAAATGCCATGCATTTTTATAATTAGCTGAGAACACTAGTTGGCATCTTGTGCTCGAACACCCAATAACTAATTTGGGCAAATCACTCTCATGTTTATTTTACCACTAGTTCAGAAACTGCCTCTGTCTTAGGAAGAATTAGCAAGAAACATAGCTGAACATATTTTTGAAGAAAGTACTGTTAACAATTATTTAATATTTTACACAATAATTAAGTTTCATTAGTCTGGATAGTCGAAGTGTTATGTTGGAAAGATGTCAACCAACAAGGTGTGTTAATCTGTCTAGGACTAACTTATTGTATCTTAACACTAATATATATTATCGTGAGAGTTGCACTACTTCAGGGTTAATCTTTCTCGCGTGGGTCCCACATAAATTTGATCAAGATCTGACAAGTAGTTTCTGAGTTACCCTTAAATAATGCGTATTTAATTGACCTTGAATACATTGATATGGTCTCATTTATATTGAAGCTGGTTGCACAAAATTTTCAATTTTACCACTTGTTCTTTACCAAGATATTCAATTTTTATTTTGTTTGATTTATTTGATGTTATGCTGTAATGAGTTAAGGTTCTAAATAAAATGTTGATATAACAGTTGTCATTACACATTAAAAATTTGCCATTAAAAATTGAATGCTATGCAATAATTCTGTTTTATAATTTATTTAGAAATTTTGTAACAGTTAAAATGATATAGTTTTTATAATTAATCCTTGATTTGCATAAAATATCAAAAATTTATATGCCAACAAAGTCATTGTTCTTTTTGTTACAGTGCGATCATTCGGAACTGAGGATCGCGAGACACAATTTCCAGTAGCACCTCAGAGTCAAGTGTATGACTACATCTTGTTCCGAGGATCTGACATCAAGGACATCCGTGTGCTGAACAATGTTCCCTCTTTGCCTAATGACCCTGCAATCATGCAAATGTCAGTACCACCATCCCTTGGTGGTGCAGGCAATCAGGGACAATATGCGGGGCAGTTTAACCACCCAGTCGTGGGTCAGACGCAGTATCCTCAATATCATCCGATGTCAGGCTTTCCCAGCAGTGTGCATGCTCAGCTCAACAAGACTAGTGAGTTATCACCACAAGCATCAGTGGATTTGGCACCACAGCCCCAGCCAACTGCTGCTCCGATAGGATCAGGACTGGTGCATCCAACCAACCAAGTGAAAGACCAAGGTTTATTCAATTTCAAAAACATCAGCTTTGGCTTCAATTAGTGCTATTTTGCGATTTTTCCATGATCTCAAACAAATGCTTTGTTCTTAGATTTTTTGAAAGAAAGAAAATAATAATCTTTAGGCATCCTGTTTAATATCAAAAATTTACTTGCTTCTTACTACAACAAAGTATTTGGTTGATAGCTGAATCATAATACTAATCTTTATATTTTTTCTACCTACCCTTATGTTGTGTACATTTCTTCCTTATTATTGTTTTGTAAGAGTAATAAATAGCTTAACATGGTGTTCACATTTAGTATTAACATTCTAACTTTAATGCATTGCATTACAACTGGATTTTACTTGATTGGCCAAAAGGAGGATTTTGATTATCAATTTTATGTACGGATACATAAATGCTGATTTCTCTACTGTTACCTCCTGTAGTCTTAATGACAAAATAACTTTAACTGTAAGATTTCGTTAGATTTGTTCTTCATCCTCAGTGTCTATTGGCTATGTTTTCTGGTGATACAACTAACATTTATAATAGAGTAATTTCTTGTAGTATAACTTTATTGGTTATTTATAAATCACTAGTCATGTGTTTTGTTCATATTAATAATTTACAATTAAAATATTTATTGTGTTTTATATTACAAATAATATAAGATGGTACATAATCATTAAAGATACAAAAACTTGCATTTATACACTAACCATTAGATTTTACTATAATTTACCATTTACATCTGCATACCAAAACTCATCTATCCAAGAGTGATCTATGTCGGTAAGATTATGCTGCTTATGATTGGATGATGATGATGATAATAGATATAATATGGATTAGTTTGGGTTAGTCATATGTCAATTACCTCCTCTATTTTCTATAAACTAGTATTTGGAAATTATAATAACTTTTTGGCAGTGTGTAATACAAGTGTTTTTATTATGTTTTAAAATTGGTATAATAACTACAACCTTTAATCAACTAATTACTTGTAGTTTGTCCTCCTAATCTTAAAATTAACTAGTAATTACTAAAAATCGCAATCTGCATTTTTGTTCCTTGGTCTATTGCTTGAACAATATTAATTTTATTACTACAAATAAGAAAAACAATTTCCTTTCCAAATGTTTTATTGTCTCTACGCTTAATTCATGCTTTGCTTTGTTGCAGTCTCATGTGGCACTTTCATTACTTTATTATTATTTATAATTTTTATACTTTATTATTATTTTTGAATACTATAATATTTATTTAATGAGTTTGTAGTTAACTTTCAAAGATAAAATTATGATGATTCAATAGTTACTCCATTTTTTAAATATTGATTTAAGAAATGATATAATGCAATTCTATTTAATGCATACTCAGTCAATGGGAGAAGTCAAGGGGGATATATGGAATTAAAACCATGTTATGGTTAACTTGTTAAAAAGAAAATTATTTTAATTTCATATTTTAATATAGTTTATTTATTACTTTATAAATCGTAATTATATTAATAGGTTCAATGCTTGATCTTATTGGAGGTGGAAATCAGCAGAATGCTTCGCGCTCTGGCACTCCTGCTGGTGGCCACAGGAAAAGCCCTACTGCTGATCAAGGCACTCAGGTAAAAAGCAGGATAAATATTTTATTAGCAGTTTCAATATTTTGTAAAGCGTGAAGAAAAATGTCATCAAGTTATGAACTTTAAACATGTTATTAATTTTTTGCATTTAGTAAAATTTGATAAAAAACTAATCTTACTATAAACACTACTATCATTCAGTGCTGATTTATTCAAGAAACAAATTCGATGACAAATTTTAACAATATTAAGGAATAGTTTAGCATTTTAATCTCTCCATCTGCATTGTAAAACTTTTTCAAGATTAATAAACAATTACATATAATTTTGATTTTCTATTTCTAGTAGTGTCATATAACTTTATTGATTTCTCAATAAGATTTTTATTACCTAAAAATATACAATAAGCTACATACATATAATATCATAGAATTTTATTAGATATCAATCACAACTTATATCCACGATTTTTTCTGCTAGGCTACTCGTAATAAAGAGGTATATAAGTTATTTGTAACGTAAAGGTTAATTTTGCATTAATTCTTAAGAGCCAGTTCTAGAGGATTTCCAAAAACTTATTAAATTGAGGAAATCGTTATACTAAGATTGTAACTGTATTATATTTTATAAGAATTAGGTTAGAAATGAATAAATCAAATTAGAAATATTCTTTAAAGTAGAAGAATTAAAAAATTGTAAACAAATTAAAATACAGAACTGGGGTATTGTTTAATGTATATACATTATACATACACAAGAAACTGAAAAACTTATATGCAACTTTTCTATAATGATGATAGTGTGAACATCTGCATAACAAAAATAAGTTCATCTTAGTCCCAACTAGTGAAATTTGGTGAGCGTGGGATTATTAGCTTTAATTAGCTGAAGTTTCAAATACTCAATTATATAAGGTTAATAATTTAAAAACGGTAAATTAACCATGTAGTAGTGGTTTAAGAATATCCACTGTGCCATATCGTCCTGTGGGTGTTTATAAAAGGCGACATAGGAAAACTGAAACAGACAGGCAACAGTAGCTTCTTAATATATACATATGTTTACCATAGGTGTTACTGATAGCCCCTGTGCAAGGTATGTATGGGAGCGGAAGAAACGGCCGCTCACATGTTGCTGACATGTCCAGAAGTCGCTTCATACAGGGCTAAACATCTCAGCACGCCGGGATCGCTCCCCGAAGTTGCTTACAACATCAAAGGACTTCTTTGAGGAAATATCATGGCTCGAATAACCACATTATTCCTGCCCACACGTTCAATACACGCTTAGACGTGGAGTTGCGGAAAACAGCCCGTCCTAAACTGAACTAATCTTCTTAATAACGGTTTAAATTATATAAAACTGTGCCCACCTCCTAAGCGTGCCAACTATGGCAAAATACCTCCTATGAAACAAAATGGGGGAAGCGTATATTTGACAGAGGACTTATTTAGGCTGTAATGGATGGATGAAATATAGGCTAATGTGTTGTTGGCTACAGGTGGGGTCGGTAGCGAGCGGTTCCGGGCAACGGGATAGCCGACGCGGTGGGCCGCAGAAGGCGGGTCAGCAGCGCGCGAGGCCCTCGTCCCGGACCCGCCAGCGCCTGCCGAGCGGCGGTGCGGCCTCCAGCGCAACGCCCGCGCAGTCGCAGACCAATGCTGCGCCCGCTCAACAACAGCAACAGCAGATGCAACAACAACATCATCATCGTCAACCCGGTAATTATCTTTACTACTTGCACCAGAGTTATGTAACAGGTTATACTGCCACTATTATTGCAATTGATAATCGTAACTTTAAGTGCTGATTAATTTATTGCTCTTTACAAAAGGTTAAATATTTAGAGGAAACTTGTTGAGAAGTTCATCAGCAGAATCCCTATCCAAAAATGAGGAACTGGCCTTTGGCACAGCTACAGGTGAAACATATTTTTTTACAACATGAACTAGTGTTTAGATTATTTAATTACCATGGGTCATGTTAAAGCCCATATTTGTACAAAATGCTTTTTGACCAAGATCTTGATCCTGGTTGTGGCCGGAACTCTTGGGTAAGGAATATATTGATTTATATGAGTTCAAAAATAGTTATCGTATTTGCATATAATTTAAGAATTTAATGGCGCAATAAAATTTCTGTATTGAAAGATAAAGGCAATTAATGTGTAACATTGTTATATTGTGAAGTATTGTACCATTAGGATTTACAAAAATAGTAAGTTGTCTACAGCAACTTTGGTCCAAGTGAGTTGGTAAAATATTACATATTTTGATTGAAAACACTATCTCAACATAAAGTGGTGTTTAGATCTTTTGACAGTCCTGTATATTACAAGGAACCCTTATCTTTTTGTCCATCTGTACTAATCTGTCAAAGCATTGTAATTGGAAGTTTTCGTCAAAATTACATAAAAATATTATCCTTTAGAAAATAGTAATCACATTTTGACATTTAACAAAAAAATACAACTAGAACCTTATTATACCTACATATTGAATAAAACCTCTTATACGGATTTTATTTAGTTAGTTTTAATTCCCGACGTTTCGGGTGCTTTACAGCACCCACGTTAGCCCGGCTACCTTCAGTTTTTTGTTATTAGTTTTTGGTCCGATCTACCCAGAACAATCTTACAGTATCTTTAAGTCTTCAGGGCCCACTCAATATTTGCTCGAAACCCACTGGTGAGTCGCGACCATAGAATACTGTTATAAATACATACTAGAACGGGGGTGTGGGCGGAGCCCGTATAGCCACTATGCCACTAACACGTCAATTCAAACGTATAAATGTCGACACGAGATGTGTTTTGACGTTACAATCGTTTCCAAATTTCGCATGCGAATTATTTAATAATAATTATAATAATAATAATAAAACCTTTATTTCCGAACTTTGACAGTTTTTTTCATTTACAAACATAAATTTTACTTAAATAAATAGATTAACAGCTGGTTAAAAACGTAACGCACAACATATTATAAAAGGTCTCTCAGTTCGGTGTGCCTTACGGCAAAGGCCTCCTCCAACTCTTTCCACTGATGTCTGTCTGCCGCCACTCTTGTCCAGAGCGGACCCAAAGTCATTTTCAGGTCATCCTCCCATCTTCTCTTTTTGCGACCTTGACTCCTAATGCCATCTCTTGGGTACCAGATTGTCACCTGTTTGCTCCATTTCTCCTTTTTACACCTGAGCATATGTCCAGTGCACCTCCATTTAAGTTGGTCAATACGAGCCAGGATATCAGTTAGTTTTGTTTTGTGCCTGATGTCTGTACTTCTTACTTTGTCTTTTAGTTTTAAACCTATCATGCTTCTTTCCATACTTCTTTGACATCTTGCAAGTTTATCCCTATGATGTTTTGTCAGAGCCCAGGTTTCGCAGCCATATGTAATGCAGGGTAAAATATATGTATCAAAGGTCTTCTTCTTGATTTTAATGCCTATTTCTTTGCTTTTTGTAATTTCTTTCAAAGCCCAGTAGGTTTTCCATCCTGTTGCAATCCTTTTTTCTATTTCTTTCGACATCTGGTCGTTAGGCGATATTATCTGGCCAAGATATACATATTCTTCTACATATTCCAGTTTCTGTCCTTTAATTGTTATGTCTACGGGAATTGAATTTGTCATCAGCTTAGTTTTGCTGGAGTTCATTTCTAGGCCTAATTCTCTGCTTTTTCCTGCCAGGTTTTGTATCATGGACTCCAGTAGTTTTGGATCTTCTTCCAATAGGACCAGATCATCAGCAAATCTGAGATGATTTAATCGTGATCCATTTATGTTTAGACCTAGATGCTCCCAATTCAACTTCCTGAACATTTGTTCTAATACTGCTGTAAACAGCTTTGGTGAAAGTGGGTCACCTTGCCTGACACCTCTTTTTATTTGAAAAGCATCTCCTATAGATTCCAGTCTTATCCTGCCTGTACTAACGCTATAAATACTTTTGATGATCTTGATGTAGGTGTTTTGGATGCCCTGCTCTTTTAGGCTTTGCCATACAACTTCATGTCTAAGGCTGTCGAAAGCCTTGGCGTAGTCTATAAAGGCAATGTAAATTGTTCTTCTATAATCATTATATTTTTCTATAAGCTGTTTGATAGTGTGAATATGGTCTATTGTACTGAAATCTTTCCTGAACCCCGCTTGTTCCACAGGTTGATTTTCGTCGAGTTTGATTGAGATTCTGTCCAAAATGACTTTTGTTGAATTGCACTCTATTTACAAATGAAATATGTATTAAAATCCGTCTGTCAACACAGCGAATCGGGTTTGTAGTAGTGATTAATGGTCGCGACCCATAGTTTGGGAAATGCTGGCCTAGAGTATAAATGCAAAAAGTTCGGTTGAGACAACTGTTAGAGAGATATTGGCTCACTTGCTTAATTTTTGATACAGGTCAGATAGAAATCTGGGCGCAACTACACATTGTTGTGTTTTATAATATTTTGTAATAATTTGTGTATTTTGTGTTAACAAGGTTTGCAAGTTATCCTTCATTGTCGATCTCAAGATCTCAAGGTCGCTCATCAAGCTATCTTCAATTCAGAATTTAATGACAACTTGTTTCTATCCACTCAGGTCAGGGCTATGGTCGTGGAGGCTGGCGGGGCCGACCGCGTGGTCGCGGACGTGGCTTTGTGCCTCGCAACAAGAACACGCTGAAGTTTGACAATGATTATGATTTTGAACAAGCCAATACCGAATTTGAAGAACTGCGCAGCCAACTTGCCAAAGCAAAGATCTCTGAGGGAGAGACCAAGGTGGAGGTAAAATGGATTTTTTTAAAAATATATTACAGTACATTGTATTCCTTCATAAAAGTGAAATAATTTCTAATTTTGGTTGTAAACAGCTTATTATATACCAATAAACTGTTTTTGTTTAAATTAATTCTTTTTTCTCTTTTACCACAACACTTAAGAGAAGTCCATGTCCAACCGTGTACTAATTATATACTGATGAATTATACTTAAATATAAATTTAAATAAAATACTACATATTGATATTTAGTGTTTTTCGTCCTTATACTTATATGTTATATATAACATAAAATATTATAAGTATTGTCATTACTGACGTGATATTAGTGTGATGTACAGGGTGAAGTTGACAAGAAAGATGACTCCGGCAACGAGACTGGTGCTGGTGAGCCTGAGTTGGACGATGACTCTGCTTTCACTGGTTATGATAAGAACAAGAGTTTCTTTGATAATATCTCCTGTGAGGCTGTCGAGAGGTAATTTTTTTTAAATATCACTTTTTTTGTCATTAGTATCAGCATGGAGTAGTAGTAAGTAGGCTTCTAATGTCCAATCACTTATATGCACACTACTACTTGATTTATTTTTTATTTTTAGCAATTCTGGAGAGGAGAAAATTTCCTGCTGTCTAGAAAATGTATCAGCATTTTTCTTTTCTTTTATTATTATATTTTTTTTTAATATTATTACCATGTTTCATGAGTTATTTTTACCCATTAAATTAAAGTTTAGAAATATTACTACAATTCAAAGTAACCTTTGTAACATTAATTTATTTTATTTTAATGACATTTTTAATATTATGAATAGGGAAACGGTATAGTTATTGACCAATTAAGCTACCTTATAACTTCAATTGTAAAAAAAAATTATAATTTTAAATAATAATATTTTTAATTATATTCTCATTATGTATATAAATCAAATAATATTGTTTACATATTCTTCTTTTTTATATTTATGTATTAAAGTCAATACAAAAACACAATCATCAAATTTACAATAGTTTGGTCACATATTTACAATTATTGGCCAGAAATTGGCACAGTTATCGGCCATACAAAGCAAAAATTAAAATAATTCTCACATCTATTAAGAATTAGGAATGTTTAGAACTGAATCATATTTATATCATTGGCTTTACCCCCTTAAACTATTAATCATAGAAATACAAGTTTTTAGGGAATTTATCGCGTATATTTAACTTTTTAAATACCCGACGTTTCGAGAGCTTTACAGCACCCATGGTCACGGGAAGGACTGAGATGTTCAACGTCCAGCTGTCATAGTTAACTGCGGTTACCATAGATTAAAATTTAACTTTTGTTCCGATCTACACAGTATGAACTTATGGTATCATGGAGTCTTGCAGTTGTATGCTTGGGTTGGGATTTAATTTTATTTATTATAGGATCCCAAGCAGATGGTAGCACCCAGCCATCTTCTCTATTGAAATTAGGATGTTTTTTGATTTCAATAGCCTCGCGAATCATCCTTGGCAGGAATCGGTGTTCTTTAGCGAGGATTTGTGGTCTATCAAATCTGATGTAGTGACGGGGGCGATCCTGTACATGTTCACAGACTGCAGACTTCCCGGAGCGTCGATTCTTCACATCAGCTATATGTTCTTTGACGCGGGTTTTAATTGATCTTTTAGTTTGTCCTATGTAAGGAAGACCACATTCACAATCAAGCTTGTACACTCCTGCATCTTGCAGAGGGACGTTACACTTGACTGATGGTAAAAACTGACCAATCTTCTTCGGCGGCTTGAAGTATGTTTTGATGGAAGCGCGCTTCAAGATGTAGCCAATCTTGTCAGTGACTCCTCTAACATATGGCAGTACAGCAGGTACACGCTCGACTGTGGCCGGCTTCACTCGTTCTCTGTGACGTAGGCGCGGGACCCGAAGCTTGTTGTCATGCAAAACTTGCTTGACATGTTGGAGCTCGGCAGCCAGGTGTTTACTGTCACAGATCCCTCGTGCTCTCTGAAACAAAGATTTACCCACGGTAGCTAACTGTGAAGGATGGTGGTGAGAATCACCGTTTAAATATCTATCTGTATGGGTCTTTTTTCTATACACAGTATGGCTCAAGGTGTTATCAGGATTCCGAATTACTAACACATCTAGAAAAGCTAAGGAATTGTTTGCCTCTAACTCCATTGTGAACTGAATTTTAGAATTTATAGAGTTAAGATGGTCTAAAAATGCAGTTACTTTATCTAAAGGTAGAATTGTGAAAGTGTCGTCTACGTACCGCTTGTAGAATCTTGGATTTATGGGAGAAGTAAGCAGGGCTTTCTCCTCAAAGTCTTCCATGAATATGTCGGCGACAATGGGAGATACAGGTGAGCCCATCGCCACACCACACACATTAGAAGATCTAAAGACTAAGCGCGCAAGATATCTAACAGCTTTAAATTTCTTGAAGAGATGCCGAGACCATAATCTCATTCCTACGTGTGTCAAAATATCCACCAAAAAGGACATTCGAGGAAGCGCTAAGATCTTAAATCAGGCGAGTAAAAAGTTGTTACGGGCGGTAATCCAACAAAAACGCTCCGATCTATATGACATAAACAAATCCATAGACACATCATCCAGTGAATTGAAGAAAGTTTTAACGACGTTTGATTATAATTTTTGCATGGAAACATTAAATAAACGCGAAATTAGTAAATATAACGAATGCAAAAACAAACATATAGAAAAATATCAAAAATTAACGAACAAGTCAAATGTCAAACATCCGAATCAATGCCAGAACTAAAAGCAACCATTGACAAACACAGATCATAGATTAATCGCGTTCTATAATCAGTCAAAACAAACACTGGATGATGCAACAATTAAGGTTTTATCCAAAGGACTCAATTATGCAATAACTCCACGCAGATTACCGTACGAAGAAATTATCTGCAGTGTCGAGGACTGTTTAGTTAAAAACAATATGCGGAAAGAAGATTTGGAGGCGATACGTCAAGACATTTCGTCTATGTTACGTCGATGTTCAGTGCCTAAACCGAATCTTCCCAGAGACGAATTTATAGCGTTAAGAACCTACGCAATAAACCAGAACTTACGATTCTCCGCGCAGGTAAGGGAAACGCCACGGTGGTCATGGATACGTCAGATTATAATTCTAAAATACAAGAACTTTTGTCGGATGTAAGTACTTATAAAAAAGGTTAAAAACGACCCAACAAATAGCACACTAAAAACAACTAGTGACCTCATAAAGAAACACTCCGAAAAATTAAATCTGGACGTAAAATGGATAATACCTACGTGCGCCAAATCACCAAAATTGTATGGGTTACCAAAAATACACAAGCCCAATACTCCATTACGCCCCATAGTGAGCCAAATCGATTCACCAACTTACAGATTGGCTCAACACTTAGCGAAAATACTCTCACCGCTCAGGGGACAAACAAGAGCACACATAAAGGATTCCTACCATTTTGTCAGCGAGTTTTAAGACCTACGTCTGGCAGACAATGAAACTATGGTCAGTTTTGATGTGCAGTCATTGTTTACATGCTTACCTGTTGAAGACTGCATCTCAATTGTAACTAGAAGGCTGGAAGAAAACAACATGCCTGTAGAATATGCAGTATTACTCAGACACTGCCTTACATCTGGCTACCTATTGTGGAAGGAGGAGTTCTACAAGCAAGTAGATGGTGTGGCGATGGGCTCACCTGTATCTCCCATTGTCGCCGACATATTCATGGAAGACTTTGAGGAGAAAGCCCTGCTTACTTCTCCCATAAATCCAAGATTCTACAAGCGGTACGTAGACGACACTTTCACAATTCTACCTTTAGATAAGGTAACTGCATTTTTAGACCATCTTAACTCTATAAATTCTAAAATTCAGTTCACAATGGAGTTAGAGGCAAACAATTCCTTAGCTTTTCTAGATGTGTTAGTAATTCGGAATCCTGATAACACCTTGAGCCATACTGTGTATAGAAAAAAGACCCATACAGATAGATATTTAAACGGTGATTCTCACCACCATCCTTCACAGTTAGCTACCGTGGGTAAATCTTTGTTTCAGAGAGCACGAGGGATCTGTGACAGTAAACACCTGGCTGCCGAGCTCCAACATGTCAAGCAAGTTTTGCATGACAACAAGCTTCGGGTCCCGCGCCTACGTCACAGAGAACGAGTGAAGCCGGCCACAGTCGAGCGTGTACCTGCTGTACTGCCATATGTTAGAGGAGTCACTGACAAGATTGGCTACATCTTGAAGCGCGCTTCCATCAAAACATACTTCAAGCCGCCGAAGAAGATTGGTCAGTTTTTACCATCAGTCAAGTGTAACGTCCCTCTGCAAGATGCAGGAGTGTACAAGCTTGATTGTGAATGTGGTCTCTCCTACATAGGACAAACTAAAAGATCAATTAAAACCCGCGTCAAAGAACATATAGCTGATGTGAAGAATCGACGCTCCGGGAAGTCTGCAGTCTATGAACATGTACAGGATCGCCCCCGTCACTACATCAGATTTGATAGACCACAAATCCTCGCTAAAGAACACCGATTCCTTCCAAGGATGATTCGCGAGGCTATTGAAATCAAAAAACATCCTAATTTCAATAGAGAAGATGGCTGGGTGCTACCATCTGCTTGGGATCCTATAATAAATAAAATTAAATCCCAACCCAAGCATACAACTGCAAGACTCCATGATACCATAAGTTCATACCGTGTAGATCGGAACAAAAGTTAAATTTTAATCTATGGTAACCGCAGTTAACTATGACAGCTGGACGTTGAACATCTCAGTCCTTCCCGTGACCATGGGTGCTGTAAAGCTCTCGAAACGTCGGGTATTTAAAAAGTTAAAATATACGCGATGAATTCCGTAAAAACTAGTATTATTTCAATGTGTAGTGTTCGCGTAAATATAAGAAATCATTATGATGATCCTCAAGTCTTTCAGTCTTTAAGAGATATCATTTTATTTTTTTCTTTGGATTCTACTTCCTTATTTTTTGTTGCTAGATTTTTGGTGTAATTTCCATCTATCGGGTAACCGCTTTATTCTGTCGGGTAACCGCTTATATGGAAGTATTATCAATGGACGGCATGTTATGCCGTCAGCTGAGAAAGTAAAGAGAACGGTTACGCTTTCCTTAGGGTTTCTCAGCTGCACGGCATAGATATTTTTGTCTCCTTTTGCGAGAACTCGTCCAATTAAAAGGCACGTCTGGAATCCTGTCTCATCGGCATTTAAAACCCGACGAGGATCTTGAACGGCATCTAAAAGATTTTCATTAGTTAGATACTCACATTCAGCTACACAAGCTCTAGCTTTGGTTACTCCTTCGCTAGTTCTTTGTGTCAAGGTGGGGTGTCGTTTTGAAAAATGTTCTTAAGTACGATCAGTGAGATTGTTTTTCCTTGCATTTTATCACAATATACTCTTGGGGTGTACTTTTTTAGGGTTCCGTAGTCAA